AATAGGCCAGGGTTTTTTAAGCTGAACAACTCCTTGTTAAAACAGAAAGAATGACGGCGACAGTCCAAGAAAACTGGGCCCTCAATAAGCAGCGTGAATCAAAGAAGACAAACAGCCACCAATGGTTCATTGACAGCTACACAAAATTAACACGGATAGTCTCAGCGAAATCAAGAGATATTGCAAGAGACCGCAAAAGAAGAAGGGAAGAACTCCAGTTCACTATGGCTATTGCAGAAACAAATCTAGCGGTGGATCCAACCAGTGGATTCTACCAAGAACTACTAGACGACACTAAAGAAGAACTAAACAAATGGGGAAGATGGGAACTCAGAGGTCTACAAATACGAGCAAGGATGACAGACTATGCAGTTAACGAGTCTATAACAAAATTCTTTTTTTCCAAAATCAAGTCGAACGCAAGGAACAATATGATAGAGGTCCTCAAAGACCCATCAGTTGCAGGGAGCACAAAAACAACAGGCCCTGAGATGGTAGGGATAGCCAGATCCTTCTACGCAAATCTATACGAATCCAAGACTCCCTCACCCCCGACAACAGCGAACCGAGCAGCCCGCCAACTGATGCTCTCATACCTCGACAGAACCATCTCGACCAGTCAGGCGGAAGGCCTGGATAAAGCACTGACCCTGGCCGAACGACGCATAGCCCTGAACCAGATGGATAATGACAAAGCCCCGGGCATCGATGGCCTCTCCAAGGAATTTTGGAGCTGCTTCCGGCCGACCCTGGGAGAGGACCTACTCGACTTCTTCAACGAAAGCATGCGCAAAGGAGGCCCAGGAAAGGAACTGAGCACCAACGTGGTCTCACTGCTGTACAAGAAGGGAGACAAAAAAGACCTGAAAAACTACAGACCTATTTCCCTACTAGCCACGCCGTACAAAATCCTCGCCACGGCTCTTGCAAACAGAATCACAAAACTAACGAACAGTTGTTTTCACATCGACCAAGCGGGCTTCATCCCAGGTCGATACATATTGGACAATGTGATGACTCTGAATGAGGCGACAAGAAAGATCACAGAAAAACGAATAAAGGCTGCAATCATGTTCTTCGATTTCGAGAAAGCCTACGACCAAGTTAACTGGGATTTTCTCCATGCATGCATGGAGAAAATGGGGGTAGGTCCGAACTTCAGAAGTTGGGTGAGAGTTATGTACACAGACGCAACAGGAAGAGTCCAAATCAATAGAATCCTATCGGAAACCTATCCAATTTCACGTTCAGTCAGACAAGGCGACCCACTGGCTCCTTCCATATTCCTCTTCATAATGGAAGCCATAGCTTTCTTTCTCCGCAAAGACCCATTCATTGACCGCCTCACAGAACGGAATTTCAATCCGTTACACGACTTCGCCCTACCCACTGCACTCATGTTCGCGGACGACCTTACGGTACTCGTTAGAGCAAACAACAGCTCTTTCCAAGCACTGGTAAGGGCAATGGAAGCCTTCAGACTGGCATCAGAAATGAGGGTCAATTGGAACAAAATCGAAGGATGGTGGTTAGCAGACGACACCCCTCCCCAACCACCGGACACAACCACACCCATGACTTGGACCACGAGTGAGCAAGCATTACGGTTCCTGGGTATTATGATCAATAAGGAAGGGGTGTGGCCAGGAATGGGCCAGAACCTAATAGCTAGAGCAATCACTCGCCTGGCCCTGTGCAAAAACGCCCAGGCCTCACTAATCGGACGTGCACTACTTGTCAATACAACAATCTTCTCCACACTGTGGTATATGGCATCCATCTGGTCCCCCCCCCGACGACGACCTCAAGGAGCTTAAAAACAGGGTGAGATGCTACCTGTGGACAGGTGACCCCAACATGAACACTTGCATGAACAGGGTCGCATGGAACCACATCACCAGGAAGCACCAGGAAGGGGGCCTCGGGATAATCGACCCAAAACAGGAATCCATAGCACTGCAGATGAAATGGATAATCAAGATTCTCACCAGACAGTTCCTCTCATGGACCCAAATGGCGCTAAACAGCATCAGAAACTTAGCTCCCATCAACTCCCCTCCAAACATGAACGGCCTGTTTTGGCTCATGGCAAAGGACTGGACAATCAAGTCCGGCAGACCACGCAGGAGAAACCCCGCACAGCACAATACTGCACAGCTCAACACAAACCCCACTCAAACAGTCAGCACATATTGGAGTCCCACCATCAAAGCCTGGCGCAAAATGACGCCGAGTAAACACGGGGCACCAGGTAACAGAGAAGAAGTCCTGAGACAACCGCTCTTCTGCAATCCATGGATCACTGACCCCAGTGGAACGACTTGGACCCTGCGCTCACGGGACCGCAGATGGTCATCCCCGACCTCTCCGCCATCCTCCATGCACTCAACACCCTCCGAACCTCCGTCACCGCTTCTCTCGACGACATAAAGGCCAACATGTCGTCCATATGCGACCCCGTCACCATGATCGAAGGGACCATCCCCTCCATCACGGTCGTCACCACCGCGCAAACCACTCCCTCCTCCACAGAGCAAACCACTCCATCCTCCACAACGCAAACCACTCCATCCTCCACAGCGCAAACCACTCCCTCCTCCACAACCGCCTCCAGCAACAACCCCCCATCGATCTCCTCCACTCCTACCACCTCTACCACCACATCCACCAACCCTTCAACCTCCACGATCGTTCCGTTCCCTCCACCTCCTCCCTCATCCGGCGCATCCAGCACTCCGCCTCATTCCTCGCCCATCCACATCAACCCTCTTCCCCCCCCTCACTCCCAAACCCTCTCCCAACCCATCATGACCACCTCCACCGTCCCCACCATCCGTCCCACCTATTCCCAAGTCACCTCCGGGGCTTACCCCGCAATGCCACAACTCCCTCCCAACTACCTCCTTGAGGACAGCAACCAAATCGACCACACCTGCTACAACACCACCCCCGATAACCTCAACTTCAGCACCCTCGCGCAGATCGTTCACTGCGACGGGGAAATCCCCCGTTCCTTCCGATCTGGTGAAATCATGTCCTTCTCCGGCCTCCCCCACGAGGACGTTTTCCTCTTCCTAACCCAACTTCAGAACTCTTTTCACCTCCACCACATGCCCCTTGCCCACTGGCTCCCCATTGCCACCTCCCGCCTCCTCGGCGATGCAGCCAAATGGTGGATGGATGAAGTTAGCAACCGCCGAGCCTCCGGAGGACTACGTCACCCCTCCAATGGGCCAACCTTCTCACTGCCACCTTCCGCCCCCAGAAAACCATTGACGACTACCTTGAACAATTCTGCCACCTCCGCCAGACCGGTCCCACGGACCGCTTCGCCCAATGCGTCTGCTCCCTCCACCACCACCTCCCCCACACCGTCATTCCCGACTTTGCGTTCATCTCCCGCATCAAACGAGTATGCTACAAAGACCTTGCAACTACCCTCGCCCACGAACCCGACATGCCCCTTGCTGACCTCCTCTCTTGGATGCTTCACCATGATTGACTCCACCCCCACCACCAGCCCCCGCCCGGCACCTCCCACACCCGCTTTTTCCACCACATCACCCCCGAAGACACCACCTCCATCACTTCCTCGGACAAGTTCACCACACCTGACCCCGACACATCTTCCGATTCACTCGACTCTTCATCCCTCACTTCCGAGGAACTCGATGTCGTCCAATTCATGAGAATGGAGCGTAGAGATCGCAGCTCACGACCACCCTCATCTACCCCACCCTCCCGCCTCAAGAAACTCACAGCCGAGGAGCGCACCTACCTCCAAGCAAAAGGGGGTTGCTTCCATTGTCGCCAATTGGGGCACCAACAAACCAACTGCCCCAACGCTGCACGATTCACCCGCCAGTCTGCCTCCACTTGACCCGCAACCTCCGCATCACCGCCCTCGGCAAGCGCGGGTCCCCCCTCATCATGAACACAGTCCCCAGGACATTGGTCTGGCATCAACAATTCGTCTGCCTCCCCCCTGTCCGGTGATGCCTCCTCCACCAGACGACTCCCAGGCGTCGCAAACACCTCCCACTGCCTCATGCTCCTCTACCCTTCTTCCAAACCCATCCACTATCACCTTCTTCGATGTTGTTGAGGAACAAGCCTGACACGATCGGCTTGTCCGCTTAGGCAGCGAACAACACCGCCTCAACACCATCATCTCCACCGCCAACTCATCTCGTTTCCACCTCAAATTCATCGCTGCCACCCTTGGTGCGTCTACAACTAAGTTTCGGGCCCTCCTCGACATTGGAGCCACCGGTAACTTCATCACCGACGCGTGTGTCGGCAAAGCCAGTCTTACCTCTACCGGTTATGACTCCCCGATCACGATTCGCCTAGGGGACAAAGACACCGCCGTCGTAGTAGACCGCACAGTTGCCGAGACCACCATAACCGTCGGAACCCTCCGCAGTCAGGTCTCGTTTGATGTCATGCACTTGATGTGCGACATCGTCTTAGGAACCCGGTGGCTGGACCGCTACATGCAATACGCATTCCACCACAACTTCCTTTGCCTCACCAACCCCCCCCGACACAACCATCGACATCCCCTATCTCCCATATCCAACCTCCCAAGGCTTTGTCACCCCGCACCAATTCCTCCACATGGCTCGCCTAAACCTCGACTCCGCCTACTACTGTCTTGTCCTTGATCGCGAACGTCCCGAGGACTTACTCCCGATGGACAAACCCGATCAAGCCCCCCCCTCCAACCCCGCCATCACCTCAATCCTCGACGAGTTCAGGGACGTCTTTCCTGAGTCCTTACCCGCCGGACTACCTCCGGATCGTGGCGTATCTCATACCATCGATTTGGAACTTGAACATTCTCCACCTTGCCGCCCTCCATACCAACTCTCTGTCCCCGAAGCCGAAGAAATGAAGTGGCAACTTGGTGAACTCCTTGAAAAAGGGTTCATTAAGCCAAGTTCATCCCCCTTCGGAACCAGCTGCTTTTTCGTCAAGAAAGGTGGAACTTGGGAACTTCGCATGTGCACAGACTACCGCACCTTGAACCAGATCACGATCAAGAACAAGTACCCCCTACCTCGGATTTCCGAGCTCCTTGATCGTCTCCATGGAGCCAAGTACTTTACCAAGATCGACCTCCGCAGTGGCTTCCACCAGATCCGTATCCGCGAGGAGGACACCTACAAGACCGCCTTCCGCTCTCGGTTCGGGCACTACGAGTTCCTCGTGATGCCATTCGGACTCACCAATGCCCCCGCTACCTTCCAATCTACCATGAACCACATCTTTTGCAACCTCCTCGAAGTCTGTGTCGTCGTCTACCTTGATGACATCCTTGCCTTCAGCCCCACCTTCGAGTCCCACCTTCATCACCTCCGCCAAGTCCTCTCGATCCTCCGAGAGCAAAAATTATACGCCAAGCTCAGCAAATGTACATTTGCCGCTTCGAGCATCGAATACCTCGGCCATATTGTCTCCGCTGAAGGCATCCGTATGGACCCCTCGAAGGTCACAACCCTCGTCGAGTACCCCCCACCCAAGACCCTCCTCCAACTTCGTTCCTTCCTCGGGCTTGCCAACTATTACCACCCATTCGTTCGCAACTTTTTCGAGATCTCTTAACCTCTCCACGAACTCACCCACAAGGACGAGCCCTTCCATTGGAACGATCGCCGCCAACACGCTTTCGACTTACTCAAGCAAACCATCGCCACGGCCCCTGTCCTCAAGATTGTCACCCCCACTCACCATTTCTATGTCACCACTGCCGTACTGTCCCAACATTTCCCCCGCGACACCGCCGAGACCCCCTCCATCAAGGACTCGCCCACTCACCTCGAGGCTCCACCCGACAAATACCCCATCGCCTTCGCAAGCAAGAAGCTCCTTCCCGCGGAGATGAATTACCCCTCCAACGAGAAGGAACTCCTCGCCGTGATTCACGCCCTCACAGTCTGGCGCCCGTACCTCGACGGGCAATACTTCACCATCCGCACCGACAACACCATCGTCTCCTCCATCCTCTCCAAGAAAGATATCACTCCACGCCAAGCCCGCTGGCGAGACTTCCTTGCCCAGTTCACATTCACCATTTGCCATACCCCCGGCAAAAGCAACCGCGTTGCGGATGCCCTCTCTCGACGACCCGACCACAAGCCCCTCGAGAAAGTCTACGCCACAATGACTCATATCCAACTCCTCCCATCACTCCATCATCGATACACCCAAGGCTATCTCTCCTGCTCAGACTTCGCCACCATTTACAACAAGCTCCGCGATCTTGACCCAGTTCCCGACTACTCCCTCCACAACAATCTCCTCTACATCGATACCAAAGGCACTCGCCGACTTTTCATCCCTGACGCACGAGGCCTTCGTACTCAGCTCTTGGTCGAGCACCACGACGCCAAGACCGCATTGATACTGAAATCAGACTTAAAAAGGGTCTGACTGTGGGCTTTAATCTAAAGATTGAAAGAGTTCTTTCTCTATATCTTAATGGGAAACTCAATATATTATAGAACCATATCAATAAAGAGGAGGAAATCATACTAGCATGATTATTTCATCAGACTAGATCAATTATATTAAACATTGTGGTATGATCTCACAACAATGATTGGTAAAATGATTGACTGAAAGGATGACTTTATATATATATATAATAAGGACTTGCATGAGTTCACCTTGATAAGTTATATATATATATATATATATATATATATATATGCTTGGTTGAGATCGCCCTAGTCGACCAGCGTACGCTTCATCCTTAGGAGATTGGCGCCCTAAGTAACAAACGACGTTCGGGTTCAATAGGCGTTTTTCGCTTATACCTATACTACAGCGAGCAAGCGTCCTCGGTTGACTCATCCTGCGATTGCACATAAAAACTTTCGCACGTGGGTCAGTAGCTCGGTGGGGATATACCCCTAAGGGTGGTGACAACCCCTTGGGGAAGAAAGTTTATGCCCCACGGGAACCTATCCTGTCGTAGGGAACCACGGGATGTACAGCTGGCGCACTCGGCTAGAGCGGCGAAGGAACGACGCGACCACGGCCATCTCGGCGGCTCACGGTGTTAATTATGTGTTGTCCCTGAGTTGTCTCTAATTTGTTTCGTTTTAACCTTGTGTGACATGGTCGGGAGGGCTTCCGCCTTTTCGACAGAAAAGGCGAGGGCCGATGCGCTCGACAGGTGGAGCCGTTGTCAGGGATAAAGACAAACTACCGTTGTCCCTGGTGGAACAACACTCGGGTAATAAAATATTAAGAAATTATAATCTAAGCTTGTTTCTGTTTTGTTTTCAGATGAAAAGCTAGAAAAACTGTACAGAGTTGGAAAAACAAGGAACAGTTGATTGAAATATATATGTGTGATGTTATTGTTTATGTGCTACTCAAGATGGTTGGCGGAAATGGCGATGAGAGGAGGAATGATATCAGGGAATTGGCCAAAGCAATCCAATAATCAACCACTCAAAGGGATCAGCTTCCAAAGGTGGAAGTGTCTTTGTTCGATGACAACAACGCGTCAGGTTGGACCGATAAATTTGAACAATTAGTGAGTTCTCGGGAATAGACTGATGCGGAAATATTGCAGAAAGTAAAAAGATACTGCAAAGGTAGAATATAAGGAGGAGTTGATGACCCTGGTGAGTGGATTGAAATACTGGGTTGAGTTCAAGGAAAAATTGTTGGATAAATACCATTTGGAGGATCAACTGCTAGATTTAATATCCGGAAAGTCGTCCGACTGAAGTTCGGGTCAGCCAAACAATTTTTGACAAAATTTGAACGAGTTGCTCGGCTGATACCTGATATGCCTGATAAGGACAAATGTCTTATCTTTCTGGACAACTTTTGAGAGGTTGAGCAGAGGGAGCTGATGAAAGATATGGAGGAGCGATATGATTGGCCAAAGATAAAAGTCGACCTCTTGGCAGGGAGTTTCGATCAAATGCTTTACCGGTTGCTGAAACTGCGAAAAGAAGATCGTGAAAAAGAAGATATCGGAAAAAACAAGGATCGTGAAGTATTTAAGACCTTGTCGGATATTAAGGAAATGATAGCGGACATGCGTGCAAAGCGTCTGAAGTTGGAGATTATGATGATTAAGGCAAAGGGGGGTAAGAGAAAAGAGAAGGAAATTGCTATTGCGAGCAACAGTGAAAGCGAAAGCGAGAAGGAAGAACCCCCTAGGAAGCTGCCAAAAACCGAAAGAAAGGCTTTGAATTAAATTCGAGGAGGACGGGGGATCTCAAAGAAACAAGGAAAGAATGGTGGGAACGGAGGGAACGGCGGAAACATCCAAGCACAGCCTGAGCAATCTCAACTCGGACCTAGCCAGCAACAAACTGAAGGAGGTCGTGGGCGAGGACGAGGGAATTTCGAAGGACGCGGTAACTGGGCTAAAGATCTTACATATAAGTATTGCGTCCAAAAGGGGCACATTATAAACATCCAAGCACAGCCTGAGCAATCTCAACCCGGACCTAGCCAGCAACAAACTAGAGGAGGTCGTGGGCGAAGACGAAGGGATTTCGGAGGACGCGATAACTAGGCTAAGGATCTTACATGTAAGTATTGCGTCCAAAAGGGGCACATTATGCGATTTTGTCAAATCCTCGTCAAAGACGAGGCAAACAAAATCGTATATACTACCATTCGCGGGGAAGTCTTTGATTTTGAGGGAACTCTTATCGATCCGGACATCAAAGGGGGCATAAGGAAGGAAGTCTTCCGGCGAATAGGGAAGAGTTTGCCGACCACCTTCAGAGTAGCATTGCTGGAAGATGAAGAATTCTTCCGAATAGAAGAAGCATTTCGATCTCTGCAGATGGATGATTCAGAGGTGGAACTGGGCGAACTAACGGAACAAGGAGAAGTACTCATTCAACGAGCGCAAAAAGTAACTAAGAAAATCAGAAAATGTCGAGATGTGGTTGTTTAGCTGTGTCTCGACATGGATGAGGAATGGCCTGGTCTACCTAATGTATACGTATTCGGGGGGTGGGATAGACCAGATAATACTTCTCCATCTGCCCTTGAATCTTCATCTGGTCCAAGACCCATGGCTGCTACTCTGATGTCTCGGCCAGTACTTAAGCGACCGGCTCCAACGACATTACCACAGGTACGTAAGACCAGAAAGACCTTGCACAAAAAAACAGCAGCAGAAGGAGGAACGAAGGAACCGGTGGAAGAAGTCCTTATTCCAGATGATGAGCAAAGTGATTCAAAAAAAGAAGGCGAGAGGCTGCGTGCCGAAGATGAGCGGCAGGCAAGACAGCGAGTTTCAGAACGGGACACAGAAGAAGGGAAAGGAGGTGGTCGAGGAGAAGGAACCTCGCTGTAAGAAGAATATTTACACAATTCTTATTGAAAAAAGAATTAACATTGAAAAGATCGTTGACTATATTTTGGAAAGTCGGCGTGACTTAGTCACGCTGAAGGAATTTTTGGCAGCATCACAAAAAATCCGCGACGAGTTCAAGCAGCGATTAACGCGGAGGAAGGTCATGACTGTCGAGTTTGGTGATATCCTCCCTCCGGAAGCCAATTGGGCACCTGCAGGAACCAAAATGGACTGGCGATGTGTTGCCACTGGTCTCTTGAAGGTACAGGTTGGACAAGGTGAGTACTCTGCTTTGATTGATGATGATGCTGAAATGAATATCATGAGAGAGAGAGAAGCTATTGAGGCTGGAATCCGGATCAATCAATCTGCTACTTGATTCCAAGTGGGTGCGAGTGGATCAACCCCTTTCTGTGACACAGCCAGTGATGTCATGGTCACGGTGGGGAAGGTTAAAACTCGTAGCTACTTTTATGTTTTGGCCAGAGTTGAGCATGAGGTATTGCTGGGAAGATCACTTTTGTGCCGAACAGAGATCTTGATCATTAATAAATATGATGGCTCAATGTTTATCGCCTTGTGTGTTCTGTATGTGGATATTATGAAGTGAGGAAATGCGAAAACACGGGGCCTGAAAACTCAAGGAACCGGCTTAACCCCGGATCCTACTCTTTCCCGGAATTTGAAAGACTTGGGAGAGAGAAAGAGTCTTTTGACGGTTATGATGAACCAAAAGAATTTTCTATTGCACTGCCAAATATATCTCAGACAATATATTTTCTTTCGACGAAATCTTCAGTTGACCCTGGGTTGGTACAGGCATTAACCGATGTGATATCTGATGTGGGAGGCGCAGGTAATATGACTTTGACTTATCGATTGGACGAGCCGCATGAGGTAAGCACATTGGTTACGCCCGCATCAAAGCAGGGTCATTTTTAGTGGACGGAAACTTGTCACTGGGTCGAAGCGCAAACATAAGAAAATAGGCAAGAAAGCGCAACCTGTGCCCGTCTTGATCACTCATGACCAAGAGATTTATTACAAAGAGGAGAAAGAGTGGATCAGGATAATGAAGATGAAGGCGAAGGAACGACCGTGTCGATTGACAGATAGGATCAAAGAAATGATCATTGGAGACGATGGATTTCTTACTAACGCAGAAACTGACTTCCTCATTAGTACTTTAAAGGACATACATCTGGCATATGTCTTTGACCATAACGAACGAGGAAGGTTAGATGTTGATATGATCTCAATGATCAGGATACATACGGTACCACATGAGCTATGAAATATAAGAGGTCAACGGTATCCGAACCCAAATGACCATCGCAAGGTGATTGAGTATCTGGATGAAAAGTTCAGACGAAAGTGACAAATTATTTTTATGGTCCGTATCCATCTCCTTGGTTCTGTTTTATCAAACCAAACAGCGTCCTTAGATGGGTCCAAGACCTACAAAGGTTGAATGTAGTGACGGTTCGAAATGCAGGTGGACTTCCACATGCAGATCAACTATCAGAGTCATGTGCAAGTAGATCCATCATAACATTGATTGACTTGTATTCAGGTTGTGATTTATTTCCCTTGTACACAACAGATAGACCTATGACAACAATGCATACGCCTAGGAGATTGATCCGCATGTGCTCAACATCTCAAGGCTGGACAAACGCTGTTGCTATTGCACAGCGGTATATGACGAGGGTCATGCAACCACTCTTTTCGGACGTGACTGCACCATATACCGTCGATTTGGCTATTTCAAGACCTCGCATAAATGACGCGATGGAAGTGTTACCTAGCATTCGCAAGTTTGTCTGGGAACAAATATCCGCGATGCGGATAAGGTCCTGTGAAAGCTAAAAGAATACAACTTCACAACTAGC